TTTACATATTTTTAATCATAAAAAAAAAAAAAAGCAAATGGCGGGTGAACAGTGCGACGCCAAATATGGCGTCGCACTGTTCACTGGCGACCTTATGCCGTAGAAAATAACGCTCCGTTGGAGCGACATTGAGCACGGAAAACACTCGTTTGCGTATCCATTGGAGATGCCCTTAGTAAATTTGGGTATCAGATAGATTTAACTTAAATCTGCAAGGTTTCTTCCCCCAGCGAGCTAACATCCTAAGCTCCTCCTCTCCTTTATACACCGTCGACCCCATCAACAAATGCACCCAATGAGCTCCCATCACGAACTCCTCTTCACCTTCACAAGCCACCCATTCCATCTTTGCCTGCACCCAACGAGCACACGTCACGAACTCCTTTTCTCCTTCACACGCCACCGATCCTGACGATACCTTCCCTAGCAAGCTTCGTTGCAATTCCCTCCCGTCGAGGAGGATTTACATATTAGGTTAAACGTCAGTTTAAAAAATATATTAAAATTAACTTTTATTTAAGTTGATTACAACATTTATGGTTTAAATATGGGAGTATTAATAATTAAAATTTATTTAATTAAATTAATATTATTTGTAACTTAAGTTGGCCGAATAAATTTGATAATATTTAATTATCCTAATAAATTATTAATTAATAATATAGCAGTATGTTTTTTAATGATAGTTATGATATGATTAATTTAATAATAGTTGATAACAAAATTATTAGTTAAATTATTAATATTCAATCAAATGATTAGATTTAGATATATTTTATAAGTTAATTGATATTATTTATTAATATTTAATTTGAGATTAATTGAGATGCTATTTTATATTAGTTATGATTTAATTGGTCTAATTAAAATTGATATAGGCCAAAAAAATATAAGAAGATCTTGTAATAAAAAAATTTCTAAATCTTAAAATTAGTTATTTGAATTTAACTAGTTTTTTTTCAAAATTTTCTCATGAAAGTTATTAAATCAATATTTGCATGATTTATTAAGGGGTTGTTTGGTTTGAAGTAGAATAAGTGTAAAGTATTCCAAGTACAAGGTTTTTAAAAATATTAGTGTTGGGTTTGTAGTAAAAGAAATGCAAAGGAAAATTTTAAAGTATTTGAAATTCATCATCTAATTCAATGGTGCATTTAGAAATCGTTAGGTGGAGTAAAAGAAATGCAAAGCTATTCAATTAAGCAAGGAAGAACTAGAGAATGTGACTTGGAGTAAGGATAAATCTAAGGAAGTGGCTATTGTAGAAAAATTAGTAGAGATATCCAAACCTAAGGAACCACCCCAACATGTAAAAGAAGTAGAAAAGCCTGTTAGGGAGGTAGTTGAGATGCCGCCACCACCACCACTTTTCTAAGGATTATTATAATAGAATTTGGATAACCAATTCTCAAGATTTTTAAAAAAATTTTAAAAATTTGACTATTAATATTCCATTTATAGAAACCTTAGAACAAATGCCCACCTATACTAAGTTCATGAAAGATATCCTTCAAAAGAAAAGAAGATTAGGATATTTTGAAAATGTAGCTTTAAATGAAAAGTGTAGCACAATTCTGCAAAAGAAACTTCCTTAAAAGCCTAAGGACCCTTGTAGTTTTACTATTCATTTAGCTATAGGGGATAAATTCTATGATATAGCACTCATCAAATTATTATCCTTGTCCATTTATAAAACATTGGATCTAAGAGAAGTCTAATCGACCACTATTACCCTTCAATTAGTCAACCATTCATTTACCTATCTTAAGGGGGTAATAGAGGATGTGCTAGTTAAGGTAGATAAGTTTTTCTTCCCTGTGAATTTCATTGTCTTAGATATTAAGGAAGATAGGGAGATAATTATTATCTTTGGAGGACCATTCCTAGATATCACTACGACCATGATAGATGTGCAAAAGGGTAAACTAATAATGAGTGTGCAAGATCAGAAAGTAGCCTTCAATATCTCAAAGTTATTAAATTTCCTAGTGACCAAAAAGAGGATGGTCATAAGTAGACATAGCGGATGATTATGTGCAAGATTGTATGGAGGATTTACTATTGGATAGTATTTAGAGATTCACTTGTATAAAGATGTCATTAGAGTGTGAGATAAAGATTCTATCCAAATGATTTTTGAAGCCCTTAGAATTTTAGGGGTAGGTTTGAAGAGCTTGATAAATCATCCCTAGGTAGATCTTTGAAATCTTCAGTTGTAGAGGCACCCATGTTAGATTCAAAAGCCTTGCCTTGCTATTTGAAGTATGCCTTCTTAGGAGAAGAATCAACTTTACTTGTTATCATATCTATTGAATTAGAAGAAAACCAAGAGGGTGAGTTGATTAGGGTTCTTAGTAAGTATAAGAGAGCTTTCGATTAGAGCATAACAAACAATGAAGGAATTAGTCCATCCTTATGCATTCACAAAATTTTGATGGAGAAAATATTCTTTACAAAAGTTAATTTCCAAATGAGACTGAACCTTGTTATGAATGAAGTAGTGAAGAAGGAGATACTTAAGAGGTTTGATGTAGGAATCGTTTAACCTATTTCATATAGTGCATAGGTTATTCCTTTACACTACATTTCTAAGAAAGAGGCTTAACTGTAGTAGGAATGAAAAAAAAATGAATTGATCCCCACTAGGATAGTTACCAGACAGAGGATTTGTATAAACTATAGGAAGTTGAATAAAGCAACTAGGATGGACCATTTCCCCTAACTTTCATTGACCTGATATTTTATATGATAGCATGACATCTTTTTTATTGCTTCCTAGATGGTTATTCAAGATACCACCAAATTCCTATATAACCAAAATACCACGATAATACCACATTTACCTTGTTATGAATGAAGTAGTGAATAAGGAGATACTTAAGAGGTTTGATGTAGGAATTGTTTAACCTATTTCATATAGTGCATAGGTTATTCCTTTACACTACATTTCTAAGAAAGAGGCTTAACTATAGTAGCAATGAAAAAAAATGAATTGATCCCACCTAGGATAATTACCAGATGAAGGATTTGTATAAACTATAGGAAGTTGAAAAAAGCAACTAGGAAGGACCATTCCCCCTAACTTTCATTGACTTGATATTTTATATGTTAGCATGATATCTTTTTTATTGCTTCCTGTATGGTTATTCAAGATACCACCAAATTCCTATATAACCAAAATACCAGGATAATACCACAATTACCAATCCTTATGGGGTCTTTGCCTTTAATAGGATGCTTTTTGGTTTATGTACTGTCCATACTACTTTTTATAGGTGTATTATGTCATTTTTTTATTTAACAAAGTAGGGTATTGATGTTTTCATAGATAATTTATTTGTATTTAGTATCACTTTTGATTCTTACACTACAGGAAAAACGTCTATTGTCAGAGGTGATTTTCGACGATTAACCTCAATTTTCTAGTGGTTTTGAACTTTACCGACGAAACCTCAGGAATAAATCGCATAAGAAATGGAAATCAACTGTAATATTTTCCAGTAATTTTTCTGCGGCTAAGAAAGCTAAAAATTATTGGACCCAAAATTGTAGGTAACCCGCAAAAAGATTCCAGTGCAAATACCGTCAATAAACCTTCAGTCATTACCGACAGTCTTATCCTCGTAGCTGACACTTAGCCAATATTGACATCTCATTAATTTTAACAGACCTACAATCAGACATCTCATCCTCTCTATGTGTAGTAGCTACAACGTATTGTTGGTCAATGATCTCCCGTGCTTTGATTTTTATGTCAGCTAACCAATCTTGCTTATCTCTATAACCACTAGGATATTTGTTGAAATAAACTTGAATAGCTTAACTTGCTAGCACAAATGGATCAAACTTCTCGTATTTTCTACATTGTTTTACTTCTACTAAATCATATGCGGGATGAACCCTTATGTCTCTATTCAGTACTGAATCGTATCATTGATAGTTAAATAAAAATATCAGATTCTCATCTTCTCCTGGGTACTATAACTCCAGACCCCATCCAGAATATCATAATAATCACACTCATTTTTTTTATGAGTGTTTCGTCTAACACAAACTCTATAATTTTCAATTTTTATTTATTTACCCCACAACTTAGAATGAAATCTGAACCCATTAACTATATATATTGATAAGGCGTTTTCTTTTTACATTAGG